TGTCTGAGGCAACCTCAGAAGACTGTGGTTTTGGTAATTTGGGGCCTTAAAAGGCTGAAAAATTAAACTGATCCTGTAATCCTATTTCAAGCAATTGTAGAACTGTCAGTTTTAGCAGATTATAAGTCCCCAAATCTTTTCAAGTAACCCTGTTAGACTATGGAAACCAGTCTAGCTACCAAAATGTGATTAAGGGTGTTGCCCTGCCACCCATTACTCAGTTGGCTTTTGGTAACTGACAGAGAATGTTCTAGGCAGAGTACAGAAGTAGTGAATAAAATGCCAGTCCTAAAGTCTTGAAATGATCTGTTGAAGAAATGTTTCTGCCTATCCCTTGAAAACTAAAAGACTAGAAAACTAGTAAGTTTTGAGGGGATGTTATTGCCAAATAATCCAAATGCCAGGCCTGAAAATGCCTATGATGTGTGTGTATATATATGTATATATGTATATGTGTGTGTGTATATATATATACATATATATATATATATATATTTTTTTTTTCTTTTGACCTCATAAACAACTTGCAAATCTGCAAACCTACATTGGTGGGAAGTAGGTTATGAAAGCTGTGCGGCCTCACTTCAATTGTGTCCAAGGAGGATGATGGACCAGAAAGTAACCCCCAGAGGGCAAAACTAGAGGACTATGAGGACAACAGACAAGTGGATAGCAGAACTGAGGTCTTTTAGATTGGCTAATAGAGATACTCATGAGCTCTGGGAATTTTCACAATATGGGCTTATATAATTTTTCAAATTTAAGATTAATTTTTAATTTAAGAATACATATTAGATGTTTTATGTCATAAAATATGCCCTATATTAAATAATTTTAAATATACATAATTACTTACATGTAATGCTTTGAGTCTAGTTTATTTATTGTTATGAATCCTTTTGGCCCCTGAGCCTGTTTTGTTTCTTCTCTTAAAGCTTCATGCAGAATATAACTATCCCCATGGGAGGAGCAAGAAATCAAGGATACAAGGGAGACAAGGAGCAATTATTCTTGATGATACAAGAGGCCCTTATCACCATGACCATGTTATTCAAATGTCAGTTAGAAAAAATAAGCTATATGAGCAACCTGCATAAGGTTTTTTCACAAAAAATGTATTTCATATCACTATAGATAGTAGACAATTGGGGAGCTTTGTTGTAGTTATCTTGAACCTCCTCTACTACAGGGTACATTGGGTAAGGCAAATGCCATTTTTTGGGGGGGCATAAATGACTAAATGATATCTGGACTTGATGTAAAGGAGTACATATCACTGAAGAAAAAAAAGATTTTGAGGTAACCCAGTAACTGGATAAAGGCTTGAGGTGGTGTCTTTTGAGGTGTGGGTGAGTGTGTTGCATATATTGGAAGAAGTATGCTATGCCACACAGGTCGGTCAGTCTGTCTCTCTTTTTAAAACTTTTTATAGAATTCACTGGAGTAGCATTGGCTAATGAAATTATATAGGTTTCATAGCCAAGATTTGGAAGCAGCCCAAGTGCCCATTAGTAGATGAGTGGATAAAAATACTGTGGTATATTTACACAATGAAATACTACTCAGCTGTGAAAAAGAAGGAAATCTTACCTTTTGCAACAGATGGATGGACCTGGACAGTATTATGCTAAGTGAAATAAGCCAGCTGGAGAAAAATAAATACCATATCATTTCACTTAAATGTGAAATCTAATGAACAAAATAGCTAACAAAATAGAATCAGGTCTCTTTTTAAGAGAGCTTCTGCAACAAAGTGTAGTCAGCTACAGCACATTTGAGATTCATCAAAATGTTCAAGCAGAGGACCTGCTCTCCTTTACTCTCTCTGGGCAAATCTACTTAATGATTGAGCATGGTGGGGGTTCTAGGTACTAGCCATTGCTACCCAACATGAGACTCATGCAAAAGGCAATTTTTACTTTGTAGCAGCTCCCTGTTGGGCTGGCTGAGAGTTTTTTTTTAGAGTGGTTCTTCCTGCCCAAGCCGCCTTCCTTTCCTTTTGCAGATGTCAGATCTACATTGAGCATTGAAAACTTTTGCTGCCTACTCCTATCCCTTCTCCCCTTTATCTTACACAGGCATCCCACCCAATAAATCTCTTGCAGTTCTAACTCTGCCTTGATCACTGCTTCCTAGAGGGCCAGAGCTGACACAAGCACACATACATATTGGTCACTGTAGAGCAAAGTAACTTGCCAGTAACATTCCTTGTTTTAACCACTGTGCCACTCAATGGAGAATGTTATTTGTGTGAAGTTCAAACAGATTCTCCTTTTTACACTTCACCAATACCTTTGTTTTATACTCAAGCTTTTTCAAACTCCTAACCATAATATCTGTTCTGTTAATCCTCACTTTTCCCTGAGTCTTTCTACCCCAACCCTCTGTCTCCTGGCTCCAGTGTTTACTAGGGTTCTCTCTAGGACAGCCATATGGCTGTCACCCTGGAATTTTCCTCCACTGTTATCTTGAGTGGGGAATCACTATTTTCGGGGGGCCTTAGGTGACCTTCTTTTATGTTTTGTTGGAATGCTTCCCTATTATCTTAAAATACATGTCCATTCTTAAGAAAGGGTGCATTTAAGGTAAACTTCCGTGTCCTTACAAATTTGAAAACGCCTTCATAATTTCCTCATAAGTGATTATGAGGTTGGCTATAGAAATCTGAGGTAAAAATAATTTTCCCTGGGAATTTTGAAGGCTTTGTTCCATTGTTTTTCCACACCCTATGTTTTCTTGACACGGCTAAAATATCTCTGATTTTTATTCCTTTGTAGATAAGCTGTCTTTTTTCCTTGGTAGCTTTTGGACTGTTTCTCTATCTTCAGAGATATGACATTTTGCCAAAACATATTGAAGTCTTAGACACAGAATGAGTTCTTTGGGTTTAAGGACAGGATACATCTTCAAAGGAATTATCTATTATCAGGTCTGTGATAATTTTCCCTTCTTTCTATTTTTTCTCTCTGGAATTCTTTGGGTGTAAAGTGTCTTGGAATAATCTTTGGGATCTCTTGTCTTTTCTCCCATGTTTTAGTCTCCTTGTATTGCAATGTGAGAGATTTCTTTAAATTCACTCTCTAACTTTTCTATTGAATTTTTATTTGGCAATCAAATTTTAATTTTTAATTTTTTTTTCTTATTTTATGATACTGCCTTGTAGTTTGTTTGTTTGTTTTTTACAAATGCAGTATCTTTTCAAGACATTAATCATTGTATGTATAAATGTATAACAAAATGATTACCCACGTACCTATCAACCTTTGGTAAGAAAGGAAATAGCACCATATAAGCCCCTGTGTTCTCTTCTGTACCATAGGTAGCTCCTACATTGAAGGTTGTATTAATCATTCCTTTGCTTTTAAAAATAGTTTTATCATCTATGTAAGTATTTCTAAACACCGATTAGTATACCTGTTTTATAACTTTATAATGGAATTATACTACATGTTTTTCTTTGTGAATTGTTTCTTTTGATTTTGGAATTGCTTATTCACCAATAGCTCCCATTCTCTGTTCTTTGTAGTTGGCAGTTTATATCTTTAAAAAGAAGCATATTATCATTTTAATGAAACCTTGGGAGGTAGACAAAGTAAATGCGTGTGCTTAATCTGTCATATTAAACTAGAAGCCTAGATGAAATTTTTTAATAGCATGTGAATCATGCTATTTTATTAATTTATACTTGGTTTCATTAGCATATATTTATTACATGTGCTACATTTGAAAGGAATAATTTTAAAATATTTTGTAATATAAAATCTGAACTAAATGCTTTTGAGGTAGTGGGATGTAATGAGCTTTGACATCAGTCAAACCTGGATTAAAATCCCTAATCCATCACCTTTTAGATGAGAGATAGTGGGCAAATCACTTAACCTCTAAAATCTCAAATTTCCCCCTTTATAAATAGGGATAAAAAATACCCCCAAGTATTACTTGATGATTAAATAAGGTATTGTATGTGAAAGATTTAAACTAGTTCTCAGCATATAGTAAGTACTCAGTAAACATAGTTCCTGTTCCTCTCTCTTATTAAAGAAGAAAGAAGCTTTTCTGTTCTAGTCAACCTCACAAGCAGGCTAGTTTTATGGCCTATGCAGTCATACATGGCCCTGTGCTCAAAGAGGCTGCTTGGTTTAATACTCTACTGTCACTGTCTTGATATTATTAATAATTTTACCTTTGAGCTTGTGTTATGTAAGTGGAGTCTGGTGGGGCAATGGAGCATATGCATGAGCAGAGGAGGTATATTTTATATGTGCGTCTGTCTTTTCATGCCACTCCATTCACATAAAGTGCTCACAGTGCTCCATGAACACAGAATTCTAGTGAATGCGTAATGCCTGGGACTTCAGTGAGATTCAAATGCAAGGCAAGTGTTATGTCTATGACTAAGTTGGGGTGCCGACAGCCTGATAGGCTATGCTTTTTTTCTGAGTCAAAATTTGCTTTGAATGCAGAAGAAGGCAATGGCATTCCAAGAAACATAAATAACAATGGAAACCTCTACTGGCCCTTTGTTAGCCCATTACTCATGCTAGAAATGATAATATAAAAAGGGAAGGATATTTTCTTTTTCCCAGTTCTCCCAAATGTAGTAACCCAAATGTAGACAGTGTTGGTAATGTACTGTTACCAAGAAAAGCAGTAAAAATAGTTGAGTTAGTTTTGTGCAGTGTTTCTATTCTTTTGCTAAGAATGAAATACATATGCATGTATAAACTATGAAGTATGAATTGTGTAATTTTGATGATTCTGCATACCAGTTAAATGCCTTGTATTTAAAAACTTACTGCAATATGAATATGAATAGTAAAATTCATGCTAATACTTAAAATTTTTAATCTGTCTTAACTTAGAAGAACATTAAGTAGCAAATTTAAAAACACCATAAAATGTCATGGAAGAAAGGGAGAAGCTTTATGTTTTAGTATTTTCAATAGCACCTTTTTTTCTAGCACTTTGAACAAGGGATTTGTGCTTTCATTTTACGCTAGGCCTCACAAATTATGGAGCCAACTCTGCTTATAAGAACATTTACTGGATTTCAAAGCCTGCTTTTTATCAGCACACTCTGGAAAATGATAGCCAGTAAGTTGGATTTGTAATTCTCTTTCATCACAGATAAATATTATATCATAGAACACAATCTAATCTTGCTTTTATATAATTCATTTTATCATTGTTTTTGCTATATTGGTGAGTTTAGGGCCAAATAAGACGACTTAAATGAAGGAAGTGGAAGAGGAAGAGATAGTAAATTTCTCATGGGGCTTCAGTTATTTTAGGAGAAAGAATTAAAGAACCAGATTGTGTGGAAGAGGCACCAAATACTAATGCTTTGGGGGGCAATTTTGTTTCTTTGTGTGCTTAGAAGGTTCTTGAATTCATTGCTGCCTCAAGCTCCTCCCATGGTACTGATAGGCTGGTAGATAATTGGAGGCTAGAGACACGAAGGACAAATAACAGAATTTAATGAAATGGCTGAGGTTTATTTTTAATCCGCGAGAAAGAATTTATATGAAATTCATCTAATTAAAGACCAAGGAGTGTAAGATTTTGATGCCTGTGGTTTCTTCCAGGATTTTTAATGTTTCACAACTTACATTTAAGTCTTTTATCCATTTCGAGTTTATTCTTGTGTGTGGTGTAAGTTAGTGGTCTAGTTTCATTTTTTTGCTTGTCCATTTTTCCTAATACCACTTATTGAAGACTGTCTTTTTTTCCATTTCTTACCTCCTTTGTCAAATATTAATTGAATGTAATGGCTTGGGTTGATTTCTGCGTTCTTATGCCAGTACATACCTGTTCTTGTGCCAGTACCAGGCTGTTTTGATTACAATGGCTTTGTAGTATAATTTGATATCTGATATTGTGATCCCTCCTACTTTGTTCTTCTTTCTCAAGATTGCTGTCGCTATTCAGGGTCTTTTTTGGTTCCATATAAGTTTTTGGAGTATTTGTTCTAGGTCTGTGAAATGTGTCATTGATATTTTAATAGGGATTGTGTTAATCTGTAGTCAACATGGAGGGACCTGGATAGTATTATGCTAAGTTAAATAAGTCAGTCAAAGAAAGACAAGTACCACATGATCTCTCTTATATGTGGAATCTAATGAACAAAATAAACTAATGAATAAAATAGATCCATTGAGCAGATGAATCTCAGAGGAACATGGGCATGGGGATGGGAAGAGATTAACCAAAAAATATATATGCATATATGCATTACCCATAGACACAGGCAATAGTGGGGTGAAGGCCTGGGGGAGAGAAGGAGCAGGATCTGGTGGAGGGGGTGATTGGGGGAAAAGGGGGGGCATTTCTAATACTTTCAACAATAAAGATTAAAAAACCAAAACAAAAAAGCCCATGGAGTGGCACAGGCTTCTGGGACTCAGAGGACTGAAGGGCTGAGGCTTTGTGGTGCCTGGAGCCTGAGTGCAGAGCCAGCATAGACCCTGAAGTCGGAGACTGGCCCACTGGCCCCACCCATCCTGGTGGAGGAGGCATGGCCATGGCTGAGATGGAGGAGTAGAGCCTGGACAACTACTTTGCCAAGAGGGACAAGAAGAAGAAAAAGAAAAAGAAAAAGGAGCAAAGCAATGGGGCAGCGAGTGCCATGGAGCGGGCCTGGGGCCCAGTGGGTTGGCTGGACCATGGGTACTGGGGTAGAAGGGGGTGGCCTCCATGGAGGTCCTGACGATGGATGAAGATGAGTGGAAAGAATATGAGCAAAAAAAGCTTGATTAGAGCAGCCTCAGAGTTCAGGCAATGCAAATAAGTGAAAAGAAAGAAGATCATAGTGAAAATGAGAAGATCCAGGTTCTAAATGGGAAGAAGGTGGAGGTGGTGGTAAAACATCTTCAGGTCCCTGGAATAAAACAGCTCGAGTACTAGCACCTCTTGCTCCAGTAATTATTACAGAAACCCCAGAACAGGCAGTGACTAGCTGTGTGTATAGGCCTCCTGAAGCCCGGTTAACCACAACAGGGGAAGCACCACAAAGACCACCAGAAATATACCATGATACACAGTTCCTATCCCTGAAGTCCACTGTCAGACATGTAGAAAATCAGAAAGCTGAAACAGGTACTTAACGTGGATGCTACCTGGAGTTAAATGACCACATATGGCACATCACATTTTGTTTAGAGCCATGAATTAAAAAAAAAAAAAAAAAAAAAAAAGGGAAGAAATATGGGGTTGAAAGATGAACGTTTTTTAACTTTGTGTTAAGCACTCTCGACCTCGTGTTAATGCATTCTCAGAATCCTAGCCTGGGGCGGGGGGTGGGGGGGTGGGGGGGAACCTGGCCTTCCCATGTGTATTGGGTGCTTCATTTGCATGTGAAGAAGGGTTTGTTGTCTTTTGGCTTCAAGTTCTCTTCCTGTAAAAAGCAAGAGACCAAGCTAGGGTGCATGCAGTAATGCCATCTCAAGGAAATAATTTACTTAAATCCATTTGTGACCTGGGAGTACCAATCTGCAAATAAATGGGACTGCACCCAGAGATCTGGAGCATTTGCTACCTTGCAAAGCTTCCCCTCACTCCAAGCAGCACATGCTTGTAGTTTTATTGCATTGCACCGATCCTGGCAGGCTGAGAGATGGCAAAGAAATGTAAATAATATCAGATGGAAATAATTGTGGGTCTATTTTTGGAGGGTGGGGGTGACTTTTAAAGTAAATCCCACCTTTTTTGCCTCTTTGAGACCACAGCTGTCTTGAATTTAAACCTCCACTTGAACTTGCTCCTCTGCCCTGTCCTACGAAATAAGGGGCAGTGGTTCATCACACTCATCTCTATCTGATCCACTCTCATGAAGTAAAAGTGAGGAGAAGTAATTGGATAATTAGTAGAACTTCACTTGAGTGAAAAAATTGTTGCCTTTACTTATGCATAAAGAAAGAGAGATGTATTGTTTATTATTTGCTAACAGTAAAAGTGAGTCTTAGAAGGAATCAGCAGGTTATTAGACAGCTTTTTGGCTTTCTGGTTGTCTTCAAGTTGGTCCCAAAATAGGTTCGTAGTTAATCGTACTAAACACTACAGTAGATTTGCTACCGCAGAAAATGGGACTATAGAGCTTCAGTTCCAGTATTCTATGTTTTCTGTTCAACTGAAGCCTTAAAAATAATTTGATAAGGATTTTATTTTATATATTAGTTTTCTCCTCCTGTCTCTCTCTCAAGATTCCTCTAAGGGATGGCTTTTTTTTTTTTTTTTTTTTTACTCAAGAAAGAATATTTTAAAGATAACTTCAAGAAATTTTTACTGATTACATTTATTTTCTCTTAAGGAAAAGGAAATGGAGAAGAGCTTTGAAGTAGTAAGGCACAAAACTAGAGGTAGGGATGAGGTTTCAAGAAACCAGTTCCTTAAACTTCAGCTAGACAAGCAGTATGCTATGCTTGAAAATCAGAAAAACAGCCACACACAACACAGTTAAGGAATGGTTTTTGCTAACCCTTCTCAAATAACTAGACCACAGCTAACCATCACGAATAGCCATTCATCATCTGATCTCTGCTGGGTCTACAGCAATCTATGCAGACCCTCTATATTAATGACCAGCCATGTTACACTATGGAAGTTTCAAGTGTCACAGTTACTATGTATATTGAATTTATGAGGATTGTGATTGTTATAAATGTGTGAACTAGATTCAGCAGAGTTCTTTCATAATAATTACTCTGCAATCCAAACAAACAAACACAAACGAAACCCCACATAAACTACAGCCAGTGGTAATTTCAAAATCTTTTTATGTTCAGATACTAAGCCTTTATAAGGTTGACCACCTCAGATTTTCTGCACTCACTGTGGACTTCATGTGGATCACAACTTCTGGATAAGAAGGTTATAGATAGTAAGTAATGATGAGAAACTAATTTGAAACCAGATTTATTGGGTTCCTATCAGAAATCCTGCAGAAAGGCAGCCATCTGGGTTCTGATCTGCTGTAAAAGATGAAAATTTAAATAACCTTAATTAACCTGTCCTATGCCCCACCCTTAAGGAATGCTCTCTGTAGTGGGCTATGGCTGTATTGGACTTCCTGGAACATGCCGCTCTCAAATAATTGATGTGTTCAGATGCTCATTGTAGGACTGTGATTGATAATTTAAACTTTGAGTTATATCTTGAGGTAACCACAAATTCAGTGGAACAGGTCCACCAAGAGGGAAGGAGGTGTGGGAGGGAATAATCTTGTTTGTTTTAGTAATTTTTCATTTGAGTAGTGCTTTTTCTATGTTCCACATCAAGGCCTTTTTTTGTGTGTGTTGACTTGGAAGAGTTCTTTGACAGAGCATATTGCTTGGTTAAGTAAGTGACCGGCAATATGCATTAGAATTGTGAAATGTCTCGTGAAATTGCCAATCACTAGAGTGGAACCAAATAGCCTTTGATGTAAAGGGCGGTAGATGCAGGGGGCTCTACTTCAAGTGCTGCTAAAGCCTCCTCAAATCAGGTCTAAATTGTAAAGTTAACTGCAGTAGAAAGAGGACGGTTTCGGCTCAGGCCAAGGGATTTACTGACCCGTTCTTACAAATTTAAAGCAACATGAGCAGAATCCAACCTAAAACTCACTGAGGTTTTATGGATCTTGCATGATCTTTGACAATTCCAGATAGACTTGTGCCCAAAATTTGAAGTTATTGGACATTCTATAGATGCAGTGATTGTCCCGGGATAGCTCTTCTGGTGAGTCGTTATGTTGTCCATTTGGAAAGTCAAGAGTGAAAGACGGGTAATGTAGCACTTCTGTTTTTAATAATTACAGCTTAAACTATCCAGTACTTTTTAGTCCTCAAAAGGGACTTCAGGAAGATACCCAGGATTACCGAAAAGCTTCTTTTCATCTAATGAATTAGTCTGATCATTTCCTAGTTTTGTATCTCTTTTTCAGTAGAAATATTTCCAAGTGGTATGTGACCATTTGATGCAGAATCTGGGATTCTCTGTAATAAATCCCTTTGCCAAATGGTGCAAGTTGCAGACATACTACTGGCAAGAGTGAAGCAAATGTGTGAGTAAACTATCCTGATATGGGAGCATATTTCTGTGGGAGTTTAGTCTTCATAAAA